TCTTTCCTCCTTCTCTGTTTCCTCTTTCCCCTCCTTTTACACCTCCTCCTTCTCCTCCCCCTCCTCCTTCCATACCAACTCTTCCTTCTCCCCCCCTCCTCCTCCTGCTTCCTCCTCTTCATCCTCTTTCCACACCTCCTCCTCCTCTTTCCTCCTCCTCCCACTACCCCCTTCCACCCCTAACCCCCACCCCTATCTCCACCACCAACTACTAATACAGTTTGAACACCGCCACCACGACGCTTGTTTGAGATAGGTGGCCGGTAAAAAAAAACGGTGGGGGGGGGAGGGGGAGGGGGGAGTCTCTTGGTCTCTTGACACTGAAATATATTGTATTTACTCCTCAAACTCCACTTAAAATCCCGACAGCACCTCAGCTCGGCCCGGCCCGATAGACGGCAGCATCATGGCCAGTCCAAGTGCCTCGCTAACCTGAAATATGAACAATGATCAACTCGGCCGCCGCGTTATTAATACCTGATGGTGTGTGTGTGTGTGTGGAGAGGAAGGGGGTGGAAGAGGGAGGGAGGCAGGGAGGAAGGAAGGAAGGAAGGGAGGAAGGAAGGAGGTCAACTCTTTCAGGTTCGGGTCAGGTCTTGTATGCGTCCTGTTTAAATCAGGTCATGATGATGATGATGGTCTCTTGTTATAAACGATGTTATTAGGTTGTTGTGATAATTATCTAAAGCAAGAGGAGAGAGAGAGAGACAGAGAGAGAGTGAGAGAGAGAGAAAAAAAGCAAAATAGAAAAAAAAAAAAGAAGAATACGGGTTTATACTCTTCTTTACGGCCCCCTAAACAGCCAATCAGCTTGAGTCACGTGCCTGCGGGGAGCCAATCAGGGGCAAGTGTCGGAATAACGATATATCACGTGTTATCGCCGGACTGGCCGCTCCAAGTTATGACACGATACGGCGCCTTGTCCACCCGAGATATGCATATTGGTCCACATATTTCAAGTTTCCCTCTCTCTCTCTCTCTCCCCCCACTCCCCACTCCCCCCTCCCCCTTCCCCCCCCCTCAGAATGCCAAATTTCTTCCAAGTCCCTTTTTCTGGCGGTGGTCAGATAAGGATAAGTGGTTTCCAGAAGGTATGGCTATGAACCGTTCACTTTCGTTCAATACTCCTCAGCCACTCTCGTCTTCTCGTCTCGGAGGTTTGGGGGTCGCGAACCAACAGCTTTTTGGGAGTTGGGTCAAAATTTTGGGAAAAGTTCGTCCTGGCAGGGAGGGTGAGGGGATGGGGGGGGAGAGGGAGGGGAGGGGGGTGAGGGTGAGGGGGTGTTAGGACGGGGGTCGTTCATGTGCCATTACGCGGGTTTAGCTGTATAATACTGACCTTAACGCAACCGACTGTTTATGGTGTCTCTCCAACGACTCCTGGAGATGGATTGAGGGGCGGATAAAGATTTGTACACAAACTGGGGTCTAAAAGTACGCCATAGTGGATATATTTTCTTTTTTACGTAAACTGGATATAGATGTATTGTTTTCTGTTTTATGTGAACTGGATAATTTTAGATGTGATTTTGTTTTTACATGAACTGGAAATAGATGTTGTTCTCTTTTTTTACATGAACTGGATATTGATGGGCTGTTTTCTTTTTACATGAACTGGTTATAGATGTTGTTCTCTTTTTTACATGAACTGGATATTGATGGGCTGTTTTCTTTTTTACATGAACTGGTTATAGATGTTGTTTTATTTTTTACATAAACTGGATATAACAATACGCTATAGATGGATCAATTACACAAACCGAATATAGAAACACAGTATAACAGAATTTTTCACAATCTGGATATAAAAGTAAGCCATAGTAGAAGTATATTTTTTACATGACCTGGATATAAAATTATGTCATAAACTGGAATTTTATTTACACAATATGAAGATAAAAAAATAAACCATTGGGATTTTTTATATGAACTGGATTTAAAAGTAAGTTTCTTTTTACACAATCTGGATATAAAATTACACCACAGCCGAAATTTTATGTTATATAATCTGTATATAAATGCGGCATAGCGGGGTCATTTACACAACCTGGAAGTAAGAGACATAGCAGCACCACCACACAAACTGGAAAACAAATGAATTACGGTATCATTGGGTACGGGTTAGGGTTATGAGAGGGGGGGGGAGAGGAGAGGAAGAAGAGAGGTGGAAGGAAGGAGAGGGGTAAGGAAAGGTGAGAAAGGAAAGAGAAAAGGGGGAATCAGAAGGGAGAGAGAGAGAGAGAGAGGAGGGGTGAGTAGTTTACACCTATCCGTCCCTCTTCTCCAATAGACAGCAACGTGAGGAAGTGAAATTTTACCTCAGTCCCATAAATCCGGGTCGTCGTATCGTCTTCCCATAAAAACTCACCGACCGAGAATAAATCATATCTGTTTATAAGCGTTCAAATATAACTACACCTATCCTTGTTACGTTACCTACCTACCTACCTACCTACCTACCTACCTACCTACCTACCTACCTACCTACCTATCCCTAGAC